CAGATTAGAGAAAAAGGTACTTTCTTAAGGGCTGGCCAGATAGCTCAGTGAATTAAAGCTTAGGCAGATGTAGGGACCAAGGTTTTGATCCCGGGCCTGCCATGCCTGCCCTGCCTCCTGGGGCACACTGAGACAGCAGCTGAGACTGGGCATACTGGGCGTGGTGGTGCACACCTGTAATCCCAGTGCTTGGGAGGCTAAAAAACAGGAAGGATCACTACAAATCCAATCTGTGTAGTGAGACCCCAAGACCCTGTACTAAATACACTGAAGAAAAAAAAAAAGAAAAAGCAATTTCATAGTTTTGTGGAGAAGGGAAAAAGAAAGAGTTAAAAGCAAAACAAATTACCTTTCTTGTTATAAAAATGTATTTACCTCTGCCTGTAAACTTGTGGTTTTTGTTTGTTTGTTTTTTGGTATTTTTTTTTAGGGAAAGGTCTATAGGGTGTTCAGGGTGTTACTACTAGATCGGACTTGTAGTGATTCTCCTATTTGCAGCCTCCCAAGTGCTGCGATTACAGGTGCACGCCATCACGCCCAGTCCCAGTTGCCATCTCAGCACACCCCAGGCAGCAGGCCCGGGGATGGCACCCCTGGCCCCTGCACCTGTCTGCCTATAAACGTGTAAACTTCCCTTGAAAACTGATCTGTTGCTTATTGGACTTTTGAATGTGGCATATTTGGGTGAGGCTTTTATTTTTTGGGGGGGATGGGTTTTAAAAATATAAAATGTGGGGCTGGGGAGATGGCTCAGTGGAATAAGCACTTCCCTGGCAAGTGCAAGGGCTGGAGTTCAATCCCCGGTTCCGCAAAAAAAAAAGTTTTACAGATTTGAGTGTCTGTTGTCCCAGTTTTACTATATGTGCTGCTGAATTTTTTATGCCCATGTATTAAACATGGCAATAAACCTTCATCCCTGCTTAAAGCCAGACGTGATGGTACACATCTGTAATCCCCCCACACTCAAGAGGCTGAGGCAGGAGAATGGCTGTGAGTTCAAACCATCCTGGGCTACTTAGTGAGTTCAAGCTTAAACTGAGCTATATAGTGAGACTTTGCTGAAAAAAAAAAAAAAAAAAAGACAAATATAAAAGATCTATGCTGGGATGGAACTTATGGTCAAGCTAGTCTAGTTCTGCTGACACTGACATAAAGACTGACCCAGAATGGCTCATGAAATACTTAGGCATATGCAGTGTAGAAATAGAATAGTAATCAATGAGGATACCTTTCTGCTAAAAACACTGGGCTCTTTTTTTTTTTTTTTTTTTTTTTTTTTTTTGTAGAACTGGGGATTAAACTCAGGCCCTTGCGCTTGCCAGGGAAGCCCTTATTCTACTGAGCACCTCCCGGCCGTGTCTGGGCTCTTGATGTGTGCCAGAAACTCAGTAAAGGAGGAGACTGCCCTTATTACCTTTTTTTAAAAAAACAAAACAAGGGCTGGTGAGATGGCTCATTGGTCTAAAGCACCTACTTAGAACAAACTAGGCTTAGCAAAGCACAGGGACCATGGTTCAATCCCCAGCACCACATGCCATCCAGCCCCGCCCCCTGGTGGGCTGAGCTGGCCACATACACACACAAAATACATAAATAAATAAATAAAAATTAAAAGACAAAACAAAAAACTAGGTCTAGGTCCTTGTGAAAGTTGTCCACTTCCCTGAGCCACAGCTTCCTCATTTATTATTATTATTATTATTTTTTGGTGGAACCGGGGATTAAACTCAGGCCCTTGCACTTGCCAGGGAAGCCCTTATTCTACTGAGCACCTCCCGGCCGAGTCTGGACTCTTGATGTGTGCCAGAAACTCAGAGTAAAGGAGACTGCCCTTATTACTTTTTTTTTATTATTTATTTGAGAGAGAGAGGGGGAGAGAGAGAGAGAGAGAGAGAGAGAGAGAGAGAGAGAGAGAGAGAGAGAGAAAGAGAGAGAGAGAGTGAGTGAGTGTGTGTGGTGTGTGTGTGTGGCCAGCTCAGCCCACCAGGGGGCGGGGCTGGCTGGCATGTGGTGCTGGGGGATTGAACCCTGGTCCCTGTGCTTTGCTAAGCTTGTTCTAAGTAGGTGCTTTAGACCACTGAGCCATCTCCCCGGCCCCAGCTTCCTCATTTTTGAGAAAGGAGTAATACTTGTCTATGGAGTTGTGCCTAGTACATGACCCCTCCCTTCATTTGTCATGGTGGTGGTTTAAGATTAGTACACTGTCTGCTAAAGCTAGAGATTAGCAATGGAGGCAGTGCTGTGAGTAAGCAGTTGCACCTTGACAATGGAAGTGCTCTGGTTTGTCACCCAGTGCTGCATCTCAGCAGGGACTTGAGGGGGAAGGTCCTTAGGAGGTGGTGACGCTTGAACTAGGACTTGAAGCCCAGGAGCTGGCAAAGAAAAGAGGACGGCAGTCCAGGCCGTGAGAAGCCTCAGAAGGACCCCTCCTGAAGTTCCAGCTGAAGGAGAAGGGGCTTTCAAGAGAAAGAAGGCTTTCCAGATTCTGAGAGGCCTCTTTGGCATGGCAGGGCTTTCCCTGTGGAACATGGTGTTGTGTTCTGGGAGCCAGGAATGGTTCCCACCCTGTCTCCCCTGTGGTGAGGTCTAGTGCCCTCCCTGGAAACCCACCCACTGTTTTCCAGCCTGCTGCCAAATTCCACCTTCTGAGGAAAATGCTCACATTTCCTTCTCACTCAGTGTTCATTTAAACAGTAAAGAAAATACCTCCGTGTATTCTGAGGCTGGGTAAATACCTTCAGACTTGGGTTGCAGGGCTAGGAATGGCGCCTGCCGGATTTTGATGCTGTGGAGAATGGAAACCTAAGCATAAGCCGTGTGTACTGTAGGGAAGTGAGTGCACTGTATTAGCGTTGAACCTAAACTACAAGGGTCTATAAGCAAAATAATCAGTTAGAATTCTTCTGTGGCCTGCAAATTCTTTAAAAAATTCTTTGATTGGATCTAATGGTCTTTATTCCATTATTGTAGGACTTTTTATGGCATTCAGAAAGCATTGTGGCAAATGAGCTATTCTACCATGTCCTTTATTCATCAGAACGTCACAAAGTGGGTGGTTAACCCCGTTTTATACAGGTGAAGAGGCTAAAGCTTTATAGAGCTTGTAAGTGGCAGGTCAGGGGTGAGCCTGAATCTTGCCCTTCCTTGCTTTGAAAAATTCCACTTTTTTACATAAGTCATTTGTAGGATTATTTTGACAGCTTCCCCCTACCTCATTTGTATTCTTTTTTTTTTTTTTTTTTTGCAGAACCAGGGATTGAATTCAGGTCCTTGCGCTTGCCAGGGAAGCCCTTATTCCACTGAGCCATCTCCCTGGCCCCTCATTTGTATTCTTTCATGCTAAAACAGCTAAATGATTTGTCTGGAATTAACACTTCATTTGGGGTCTTTGGTTATTTACCCCCATTAAAAAAACAAAACAAACAAACAAACAAAATTGCAAGGGCCCTGGAGATGACTCAGTGGAATAAGCAATTCCCTGGCAAGCACAAGGGCCTGAGTTCAATCCCTGGTTCAGCCAAAAAAAAATCAATTGCAGACTAATAGGTGATAGATTTATTTATTTATTTATTTATTTATTTATTTATTTATTTATTTTTGGTGGCAGAACCGGGGATTGAACTTACGCCCTTGCGCTTGCCAGGGAAGCGCTTATTCCATTGAGCCATCTCCCCGGCCCCCTGGTGATAGATTTTTTAAAGGTGAAATTTAGGAGTGGCTGGCATTGTGGCATATACCTGTAATGCCAGCTACTCCATGGCTGAGGCAGGCAGGATGCAAATTCAAGGCCAGTCTGAGCAACTTGGCAATACTCTGTAAAAGTGAAAATTTAATAGGAATGGCGGTATAGTTCAGTGGTAGAGTACTTTCTTAGCATTCCCAAAGTCTTGGGTTCAAATCCCTACAATAGAAAAAAAGAAAAGGCTATTATTTATGGCATTGGGAATTGAGCCCAGGACCTTTGTACTGAGGTACATTCCCAGCCCCCCCCCTTTTTTTTTTTCTTCTGAAGATGGTAAGTTTTCCAAATTAGCAAAGTATAACCTTTTTGTTTGCAGTGTTGGGGACTGAACCCAGGACTGCACATACAAGGCAAGCTCTTTACCACCGAGCTCCACCCCTGAGCTGACTATTACTGAACTGTACTTTTGAAGGATGCAAATCACTTGCACATCAAATGGAGTGAGAAGGAAGTGAAAAGGGCAGGCACCAGTGTTGTGACACTGTGCAGGCTGAGAGTAGAGTTAATTAAGGGTAGGTTAAGGGAGAATAAAGAAGGTCTCTAAAAAGACTGATAGCAGAGATGAGATTGAGCTCTTTAATTTCTTTAAAAAAATTTTTTTTTCTTTTTGAGCTCCTTAATTTCTTCTGTTGTTTTAGCATTCCATGCTCAGGGGTGAGTGGATTAAGAAGCGAGGTCTTTGATTCTAGGTTAGTGGTGGCCCAGGTGTAGTGCCCGGACAGCAGCAGCCTGACCAGTGTTTGTGAGAAATGAGAGAGACTACTGCAGCTGAGTGACACATGTCTGTCATCTATAATCCCAGTACTAGGGAGGCTGAGGCAGGAGGAGGACAAGGGCACATCAAGGACAGTGTAAGCTCAGTTGGGGAACCCCCTGAGTGGGCAGGTTTTCTCCTCTGTGCTATCGCACACTTGTTTATATTTAACTTGGTTTTCCTACCATGGAGGAGGGTGGAGTAGGACAGTTAAGTGGGTAACCATTGTACCTAGTGACACAGGATGAGAATCAAGTGAGATTTGTTTTTTTCCTACTTGACGATAGATTCTGGTCTGTAAAACTAGCAATAGTACTGTTTCCGTGCTTACAGAAATATTGATTTGACCGTTAACACTAGTAATAAAAATGCAATCACTATAAGTTAATAGTATTTAATGAGCCTAGTAAATATTTGGTATTTATATAGGGTAATTTTTTCCCATCCCCTCCCCATCCAGATTACAATGTTCATAATACTAATTGATTCTTGTGGCTTTTTTAGGTTAAAAATGTGTCCGCGGGCACGCAAGACATGGCTCCGCCCCCGTCTGACTATGTGGAGAGAGTTGACAGTCCCATAGCATACTCTTCCAATGGCAAAGTGAATGGCAAACAGTCCTATCCAGAATCTTCCTATAAATCCACACCCTTGTAAGTAGCAGCTCCTTGCTTTGACAGAATGAGTCAAAAATGAATATATGGATCTTTGAAATTAGTTGTTAGAGCTGGGCATGGTGCCCCACACCTGCCTCAGGAAGCTGAGGTGGGAAGACTGCTGGAAGTTGAAGGCCAGTTAGGGCCACATACTGAATTCAAAGCTAGCCTGAACTACACAGTGAGACTCTGGCTCAAAAAAAAAAAAAAAAAAAAAGTTAGTGCAGTGGTATATACCTATAATTCCAGCTACTTGGGAGACTGAGGTGGGAAAATCTCAAATTTGAGGCCAATTTGGATAATTTGCAAAGACTTTAGCTCCAAAAGAGGTTGTGGGGGGAAGAAAGGGGGTGGGTTTGGATGTAACTTAGTGTTCTCTGGGTTCAGTCTTCAGTGTGTTGGGATGGGGGGTGGGAAATCAACTGTTTTTATTTATTTTCTTTATTTGGTGGAACCGATTGAACTCAGGCCCTTGTGTTTGCCAGGGAAGCCCTTATTCTACTGAGCCATCTCCCTGGCCTTCAACTGTTTTATACCATTCTTTCTTTCTTTATTTATTTAATGTATTTAGTACAGGGTCTACAGGGTCTCACTACATAAATTGGACTCATAATGATCTTATTTTCAGCCTCCCAAGTGCTGGGATTACAGACACGTGCTACCATGCCCATTCTCAATGGCCATCTCAGCATGCCTCGGGTGGGCCCTGCATGACACACCAGTGATCAAACCTGCTGCTGTGCTCTTCCTAAGCAGGAACTTTAGTTTGCTGAGCTATCTGGTCGGCCCTTGTGCCATTCTTTTTTTTAATGTATCTATAACAGAGCCAGGTGTGGTGGCTCAAGTGTATAATTCCAGCACTTGGGAGGCTGAGGCAGGAGGATTGCTGTGAATTCCAGGCCAGCCTGGGTTACACAGTGGCTTCACGGCCAGCCTAAAGTACATAGCAAGACCCTGTCTCCAAAAACAAAACAAAAACTAATAGTATCCCTAAAAGCTGGACTCTGGCCTATCTTTATTTGTGATTTGGAGGTATATGTACACCTTGGCTCACAAATTTAATTCTTTTCCAACATTCTGATTGGAAGCTAATTCTGGTTGGTCACAAACCAAATCAAATTCAATGGTTAGGTTTAATATTGACTTTATAGGAAATTTTTATTTGGTTTATTTGATCTGTGACCAGAATTATGGAAAGAATTAAGTTTGTGAGCCTAAATATTACTGTGTGGGTTTCTTTCTTTCTTTCTTTCTTTCTTTCTTTCTTTCTTTTTTTTTTTTTTTTTTTTTGCCTTGGTGATAGAGGCCAAGGGCTACTGGGGAGATCAGGATCCAGGATGTGAAGGGTGGGAGTCTTGTTATTGAAGTTGAAAATGGGGCTTTTCCCTTGCTGATATATATATTTTTTTAATTTTATTTATTTATTTATTAGAGAGAGAGAGAGAGAGAGAGAGAGAGAGAGAGAGAGAGAGTTCAAGGTGAGCCTGGGCTGTATAATGGGACCCTGCCTCAAAGTCCCAAAAGCCAAAAATGAGAGAGAGAGAGAGAGAGAGAGAGAGAGTGT